ACTGGTGGCCAGGTGTCACTTGTGGGACTGAGCTACTGCTATTTCCTTGATATCCACCCTGTAGACCCAGACAGAATCGTGCCCCATAGGGTGCAGGAGAAGTCCATTTGTAGAGTATACTGATGGGAAAATCTTGCTGCTGTATACAAAAGGATAACAGAAAGACTGCTTTTGTATACCTCATATTCTCCTGTGTTTAATTGTTTGCCCTATTTGTATTATATTTTTTTAAACACACATTTACTTTGTAGAGAATATAGCAATACTTGATATAATATTAGAAGCAGTACGCATTCAGAAGACCAAAATGATAGGTGTTTTAAGCATGGTTTTAGTATTACACATTGCTGTCTACAATGTAGTTGCTTAGTTCACAGTTATCAGCGTATAGAGTTAGTCTGGATGAGAATTCTACCAATTAACTATTATTTTCAAAAACCTGATGGAAGTTCTGAAGACCATTGCCTTAACAATTGTGTTTATATAAATGTATGGTATTGTGCCTACCATATTTCCTAACTTCCTTCATTTGTCTCTTTACATTGTATAATCCTTAAGTTCTTTCCATTGAACTGTATTATACCTTTCCATTTTTATTTTTTTTTGAGATCTTACACTAGGGAGACAATACAATATTTACACATGTTGGTCTGGTTTATTTCACTATATCTTCAAGTGGCATACACTCATGTGCGAAGGCATCAAGTTTACTTTTTTTTATAGCTGAGTAATACTCTATTGTATAAAAACACCACATCTTTTTTATCCATTCCTCAGATGACAGGTATTTTAGTTGTTTTCCTGATTTGGCTATCACAAATTGTGCTGCTATAAATATAGTTGCATATGTATCACTGTGATAAGATGTTTTCAGTTCTTTTGGGAAAGTTCCCAGAAGGGCATAGCTAGATGGAATGGGATTTCCAGTCGTAGTTTTTTAAGGAGTCTCCACACTGATTTCCATAATGGTTGCACCAGTGTACATTCCCACCAGCAGTGGAGAAGGGTTCCTTTTTCCCCCCAGCCTCTCCAACATTCGTTGTTGGTTGATTTCTTTATGATAGCCATTCTTTATGGGTTGAGATGGGATCTCAGTGTTCTTTTACTTTCTATTTCATGAATGGCTACCAATGCGGAGCATTTTCTCATGTATTCAATTGATTCTTGTATTTCTTCCTCTGAGAAGTGTGTGTTCATCTCAGATGCCCATTTCTGGATTGGGTCTTTACGTTTTGTGGCCCTAATATTTTTTTTTTCAAAGTTTTATTGACAAACAGATAGCAATGAGACAGTTTCAAATCATATCGGAAGGACAGTTTCAACAAATAATACACTGCATATATTCTTCTTAGTGGTTAATTGCTGTACAAGATGCGGACTTGT